CTCAGGACACTTGGAATACATTGGACGAGCAGTATGGAGGAATATTGACACGTTTTTTGTGGACTTTTATGGACCTTTCTGCCTCGGGCGCCATAGACCTCCATTATTTGAATGTCAGCAGACAGCAAGAAGCCTCCCAGATCTCCAGATGCATTTGAGATATCAAAAAAGTACTCCAGAGTGTTGTTCAGCATGGGGGTGAGTAGAAAATGAAGGCTAATCATGTTTTGGGTGTACTATTCCTTTAAGTATCCAAAACTTTTATTTATTTTTTGGGGGTTTTCAAAATTATAAATGACTTAAGCTAAATATTCAAGATGTCCCTTGAGCAGGATTGGGAAAAAGATTTTCACGATTCAATCCCTTATCGATTCTCTTATTGATTCTGTGAAACAATGAACTTGGTAAGTACACGGTGACATTCTTCTACCGTCGCCTGGGATATTCTATTTTTGCCTTCCTCGGCGAAAACGGAAGGTGGTGAACGGGAGCTGCTAGCCTCTGAGCCAGCCAGGCTACCCGTCTCGTCAGTCATCTAAATCTAATGGAGCAGGCATCCGTTTAATGGAAAAGCATTACTGTACAATTTTGGGAAATAAACTCGTCTCCCCCTGATTTAAATAAACGAGCGTCACCTTTCTCTCGCTCCCTGAACTGCGGAGTAACTTCGTAGCATGTTTAATAACCCCAAAGAGAGGTAGGAAATTGGTTTAGTTCCAGAAATGGCATCTGATTTACTAGGAACCACATTGAGCACAGCCAGTGATATAAAACTAGCTACTTACCATCAGAGTTGCCTTCCATGCATGCCTTCGAACATCAAAAACAGGGCATACGTTAAAATCTATGCCATGTTGTGTGCGCAGGTGTTTCTGCATGTTTGTATATTTACTCCAGCGGATGTTAGTGCCACTTTGCAATGATTTCAAAGCACCTTGTTGCCATCTTTCTCTTCCTTAAAATGAAGCCAAACTTAAGACTTGCGTCTGGTCATGTCGTACATGCTTACTGAATGCCGTACGTGCGTAACTTGCGTAAAAAACTTGATGCAAGTCGTGCTGCCCAGCGCTCGGCTCTGGTGTTGCCTGGAATCGTTAAGAGAATCGTTAAGTGAGCTGCAAAACGGTGCCATGGAATTGGAACACACAGAACCGGTTCTGAACAGGAACCAGTTTTCGATTCTCATCCCTACCCTTGAGAAAACAAATCCTGGTTGGCTGGGTGTCTGAGTATGAGGGACGTCTAATTTAATGCTCCACCCCTGTTCTAGTAGCCTCGTGAGACCATCCTGATCTCGTGAGCTTTCAAGGTTTCACTCGCAGATCAGTCTGGCTACTTTCTGTTAAAGAAAATTTGGAGCCGTTAGCCATACGAACGTCCAATCAGCGTTGGCTTTGAGGCGGGTTGAGGTGTGACCCAACGAGAAGCGTGACAGTTCAGTCTAAAGAACATGGCGGCTTCAGCCGATGAAACTAGCGTTAGCGTGGCTATCGAGCAAGTTTTATCGGAATTACAGAGTATTTCTTCTCCCGACTGGTTTCGGCAAGAGTAGCCTG